AAAATAGCTACGCACCCTGTATATGTGTCCCTGTGTATATATAATATATTTATAAATATACGAGGTGGAAAAAATGAATAAATCAGTACTAAACAAACTACAAAATCGTGCAAATAATTGAGCCAAAATAATTCCTATTTTTTTTTATTATTATTTGCAACATTAATTTTTTACTTTTAGTACAAAACTTATTTTATTTCAATTGGTAAATATTATCAAAATTAATATTCATTGGCGACAATAACAATATTGGGCATTTTTTTTTTACGTTTACTCTCAACGAATTAGTATCATTTCTCGTTTAATTTTGGTTTTCCGTACAAAATCTTTTTTTATTTCAAATATTGCCGTCGATTTTAAATTATTAATTTTTAATAATAACACATTTTAAAAAAATAATTGCAAACAAAATAAACACGTGATTTCAGATAACCTTAGGAATAATAATTTGTTGACCATCCTATGCTACCAGGATCACGTTGATCATTCAGATAATAAACAAAAAATAATTAAGTATTACCGAAAGCGGAACAAACAACTTTTTTAATTAGAGCTATAAGCTAGCAAACATCACTGTTATTTTTAAAATATTTGATAAAACCGAATCGTTAAGAGTATATTTTAAAAACAATAGCTTTCTTTGAACAAAGAATTCCATGTTTACAATTGCACTCATTTAACCTCATATTGAATATCGTAATTTTAGAGTCTACCCGCAATCCGGTATTCAGATACACAAGCACACAAATTCTTTATTTTCTTATATGTATAAATTTTATTTTATAAATATCTTTTTTTTTTATTTATTTTATAAGCATCGTTGAAGAGCCGACCTAATTTTTCGGTTTACGACTACTAATGTTCAACATCGTAGCGTTACAAACGAGATGAAGACCACGAGAACTTCCCATGGTTAGCCCGATGGCAAGGGGACTCTCTGATGGATGCAGAATTCGTATTGACCAGCCACCGCTGGGATTCGAACCCGGTTAACCAATTGGAAAGCGAACGCTTTATTACCTGTGCCATCGCGGCTCTATAATATCTTCTGAAAAATATAATTTCCAAATACAACACATTTTAATTTACTTAATATAAAATATTTTTTTTCTCAATTTGTAAGAAATAAAAAACGCCTGGCACAATTGTTATGGGGATGAAATTATTTTCGTTTACATCTAACTCATATAACTGCCATTATTATATAAATTCCATAATAGATTATTAATTAATTAAAAAAAAACAGAAATAAAGAAATTAAAACAAGAAACTTGGAGTTTGTCAATTTATTTACATAGGCACATCACAGAATGTTACAATTATATAAATTTATTTTTTTTACTCTCCATGTCCGGCGATCCATTAGCCTATAAACAACAACGCATCTTTTCTGAGCTTCCAAAAATAGAAATATGGAATTTTTAATTCTTCCTTACACTAACAACTAAATATGTATATATACAAAGGGTAGGAGGGTAAAAGTATACCCCTAAAAGTATAACTACAAGTAGAGTTGAGCAGGAGAAGGAAGTCACCCTAAAATGATAAAATAAAGAATAATGCACACGACATGTCTCTAGCTCATTAGTTAAGACTGTTAAATGCTTTTCTATGAGCCCATGCATCCAAAATGATCAGTCCATTTTCATTATAGTATTTAAAGTAGAGATTGAGAGTGAAGATTAAATTAGAGATTGAAAGCAAGTTGAAAAGCCAAAGTGAAAATAATGTTATTAACTAAACCAGCAAAGACAAACTTTTTGATTACCAAGCTTAAAAATTATAATAAGAGGAATGCAGTGGTAGAGAATATAAAAGGTTTAATTATTACACAATTTTTCTAATAATATAGAAATATCATCATTACAAACATAAATTACCTTGTTTTGCTTCAAAAATATATGAATGGGAAATAGCAGTCAACCTGTTTCAAGCGCTCAAAAAAGACGCCCATTTTCAAGACTTCTCATTCTGGCAAATTTTGAAAATGAGCTCCTGTTTTTGAGGGCTTAAGACATGTCGACTGCTATTTCTTATTCATTTGTTTTTGAAGTGAATGAATTTTTTTCTGATAATATCTTACCACTACAATTTTTTGGAATAATATATTTGATATAATTTATTTATTCATTCGAATTCCAATATTGATCAGGATTCAAAAAATTGCATAAGTTAGTTCTCAAGAAGTAAGAGACATTTTATCAATCAAATTTAAATTGTAAGTTAATTATTTTTTATATCAAAGCTAATTTTTTAATAGTTGCAAATTTTTAATAATGTGTGGGTAAATAAATACAAATTTTTAACAGTAAGTTTGCGAATTTTAAAACAAAAAAATAGATAAAATAGAAATTATTCTTATTAAGTTTATTCAGAAGCCATGTTTTGACATCAGAACGGGAAAAATTCTAAGAGTTTAATTGTTTAATTTAATGAAACTGTATAAACCTTTTTTTTTGGACACATGGGTTCGAAAAATCCCTACAGAAGCTCCAATTGCATATGATTATCATAACCATTTTGCTGTGCCTCCATGTATAACTTATTTTATAAAGTTGATAGAATGACACAAGAAGGTGCCAGCATTCAAAGAGATATGAGAGAAATATAACTGAGACCAAGCAGAAAACAAATGAGTCACAAAATATTACAAATGGCACCTAATTACATATTAACTCTATTTCTAATCTGATGAATCAACATAGGATTATAACTCATTCACAGTAAATACAATAATAGATATAGGTATCTATAATAACCATATAAGTATCTGTAAAAATGAAAGTAAAATAAATTTTATTTAACTTACCTAATAAGAAAATTAATTTTTTGATAAATCAAATAAATAATACTTATATGATCAAATAAGTAAAAATTCAACAATAAATCCTTTACTACGAAACTTTGCAAAAACAAAAATTCCATTTCCTTCTCCATAGAATTAAATGCATGACACCACTATTACATTAAATCTTAAACAACAATTTCCACAATTTAATTAGATACAAGATCAAAGATATTAGGTTTTTTTCATAACAATTAGGAATAAATAGTACAAATTGATAGCATATAAATGATATTGATTCCATACTATTTGGTAGTAAATTAAGAAAAATTAGGTAATAATAATTATTTCGGGCCCCAAATGTAATCAACTTTGACATAAACAATTTCTTTCCACTTTATTTACTGCTGACAATTAGTATATATAACTTTTCAGCATTCTCAACTGGATTTTGTATATGCTACTCAAAAAAAAAAACAATGCTAAAAATTTCTAAATGATTAAGTATATAGAAACAAATTTAGTCTATGCATAAATAATTTCAATGTATTAAGTATTTAGTTTTGAAGTATCCTATCAATTATTAACCTTCTGATAATCCTATACACAGAAATTGCTAATCAAACAATTCCTTTTCATACATGTGTATAGAATTATAGACTCTGATAATAATAATACAAAATGCATATAAAGGAATTCTTGAATCAGCATTGTGTTTAAAAGTACTTTTATTTTGAAAAAATGCCAAAAATTATGTCCCATAATTCCTTGGCACATTCTCGTTTCCTTTTAGATAAGTTAAAAAGATTTAAACATTTGGGACCAAAATATAATATTCAAAACATTTTATAATAAAACTTTAGCAAACATAAAGGCATAAATATCGTAAAATTGCAAAGTGCTTGGCTTCAGTTACTTTAACAATACATTTTTTAAGATGATGAAGAGCCATTTAGATAACAACACATACACCAGCGGACATTGTGTTAATAAATGCATTTCAGATAAGGATTAAAGTTATAAGAACAAACGGATTGTATTTTAAATATGATGGAAAATATCTATATATTAAAATTTTTATCATCAATAGCTCAAATAAATCACAAAATTTGCAGATCAGAATCTGCGCAAATTTCTCGAGACAAAGCCCCAAATTCTACTCTCTGCACAAATTTATCATTTGTAAAAATATTAAGCTTATCTACATAACTACAAACTCCTAAAATATATTAATTAACTAACGGGGAAAAAATCAGTTTTTCTTTAAACTTATATTTTAGATATTTTTACCATTTTAATATTATTAAAAATATTTCCCAGTAGATATTTTCTTCACATTAGAGAATTCAGTTTAAAATTAAGCTGCAGAAATGCAGTAAGTTAAATAAAAGCAACTGGAACTCTTTTTCAAATATATTTATATATTTGAAAGATTAATATTTAAAGAAAAAAAGTTTTATCAAGAAAACTTATTATTCAGTTTAACTGAATTGATTTAAAAATTATTTATATCAATCTTTCTAATTAATAACTGAATCTCTCATAATTACTATATTGAACATAGAAAATGTCAGATGCAGAATAATTATAAGAGAAAGAATCTTGCAAATAAAAGAAATATCAAAATTTAGAGCTACAAAAAAAAAGTAGTTTTTATTTACTATAATTACTATTTGAATTCTGCACTTCTGAGGATGTCTAGAAAATTGTAACTGAGTGAAAGTTTCATGATTTTCAGTAACTTCTTTGTCAGACACAAAAATTCAAAGAAAAAAAAAAGACTATTTCAGTTATATGAATTCTAAATGCAAGGTATAAAAATTTTGAAACCAATATAAGCAATTAAGAATTGAATTATAAAATAATGTTTACTACGATTTAAGAAACTCATAACCTTATTTCACAAACTTTAAATTCTATATTGCATTTTATGTAAATAAACACCATGTTCGCATAAAAAATTATCAATATAGTTTTAATAAAGTCAAGATTTTTTTTTTCATTGCTAAAAAAATTATTCAAGAATTTTATTTTAAAAATGAAATAAGGCTTAGATCAGTAAATGGCTCTATACAAAAATGAAATTTTCCTAGCATATACGTCAGCAGTAGTGAAACTGCTGATTATTAGAAACAATAACTGAATAATTTTGACTATTGGGCAATTCACTGTAACTCAGGTAGGTGTGTAAATGCTATTGAAGTACACCTTGACATAATGATAAATCATTTATTTCATAATGGCTAGGCACATATGTCAAATGCATACAAACATACTTACTTCATTTAGATAATACAAAATAAAACTCAAAAATTTTATCCCTGTCAACAAACACTACAATTGAGAAATTTAGTTTCAAAACCAGCTTAATAGATTTGCATAAACTTCAAAGGAACGATAAACATAAATCTAGTGAAAAAAAAAAGGTTTGGAAATATGAGGATAATCATCGATTTAAAATAATTATCTACGTCAAAAATACTCAAGCTTTCAAGTAAATAAAAAATTTGACAACCCATATATTGTTAACTTAACTGTGTAGTTAAGATATGTTACTTAAAAGAAAATCCGAAAATGGTTTTTATTAAATTTCATGTTAACAATTAAATTGTTTAATTAACTAATTAGTTAAACATTTATACTATAAACAGAAAACAAAAGAATTTTGAAAAAATATGCACACACACAAAAATAAAAAAGATATATTGTTCTGATTAAAGACATGTTGCTGTTGTCTGTTCATTTTTGAAGCTGGTTTTGAAACCAAATATCTTAGCTTTAATAGCCATGAATTTTTTTTTTAAAACATTGACTGCAAAATATAAAACATCTTATTAATGGATGATTGATTAGATTTGTATTTGACAGCCAATTTTTTAAAAATGGAAAATAAATCATTTCAACTTGCTAAGATATTTAAATATAAATCTGCATCTCAATGTATTAATATAAATTTAGAGTATAAAAAAGGAAGCAAATTAAATATCAGTAGCCACATAAAATAAAATAAGAAATCCAAAAACTCAACTTCAAACCAAACATTGTGTTTCATTCAAAATTTAAGGGAATTCTAAAAGTTTAGTCAAAATGAAAGACAGTGAAAAAATATAAAATAATGAAACACACTTGAAAAAGGGAAAAAATATAATAAAAGAAAAATTACAGGGAATAAACGTTAGATCTGTATATACACCAGGATAAATTGAAACTTGTAAACAGCAAAAAGGAACTATATTACAAGTTGTTAGCATTTGCATTAAAAGACGGCACTCATATTAAGATGAAACGTGTAAAATTAAAACACAAATATAAATTATGTCTATACTACACAATACACAGTTTGATAGATGAATAAACATTTTAATAAAATGATAAAAAGTACTTCATAGAACACATTTATGCTATGACACCATTACAAATTTCTTCTAAACAATATGAAAGATACAACATTGAAATAGTTTGAGCATGCCACATTATAAACAGGCAAAATTTCGCCAAAGACAACATTGCTTCAAGATAGCTAAGTGCACAAGGCTTAAGGGAAAATACAGAAAAATAAGTAAAGAAAAACTGGCGCAGTCATGAATTGTCTTTAATGCCAAATGTGGACATAATAGTAATTCAAAATTAAGGAAAAATTAATCTCTAAATAAAATAATATAACTAAGTATATGAATAACAGGGAATAGTAAATTAGTACTTAACACTTCTTTGGCAGGACTTACAGTAGCATAGTTGCTAGCTTCTGAAAGCTGAAAATAATTTTAGCCTTATTATTTTTCAGCCGAAAACATTAAAGCATTATTATTTTTCAGCCTAAAATATTATCATTGTTATTTACCTTCAAATTAATAACGATTTCTCCATTGGAAAAGTGTTACAAGACATTTTTTTTAAACTTTACTCGAATTTTTTTTCTCATCTAAAAATAAGTATTTTAAGTACAGTAAAAGCCCATTTTAACGAGAATGCATTGTAGCAAGAAAAGTTATCATTTCAACAAGAAAGCATTGTAATAAGAAAAGTTATCACTTCAACAAGAATGCATGGTAGTCAGAAGAGCAACAAAAGGGCACAGTAGCAACAAAAGTTGCCATTAGAATGAATATCTTGTTAGAAGCAAATGCTAATTTTTAATGCTAAAAAGTCAGTAGGAAAAGTTTAAAATTAAATACACATAAGATTTAATGAAATTTTATTAAAATACAATCTAGAACAGGTGCCTTTACACTAAATTTTATGCAGTTGATTTCTGTTATTGTACTTCAAACACAATATTCCACATGTTTAAATTTATTTCATAGTCAAAAGGCACATTTTTTAAGCCAAATAATTTAGAAACACGTAAAAATGACAAATTTATGTTTCAGTCTTGTTATTATCCTTTTTTTTTACAGTTGTTTGTCAGACTAAGAAAGTAAAAACAAACAAAAAATGTGTTTACCAGCAATTCTTGCTGGCATTATTTTCATAATTTTGAATTTAAAAAAAAAAAAAACTAATAGTTTAAAAATTTTTAATGTTATCTCCTAAGATGTTGCCTAACAATTCTCATTGTGACGTATTTGCTTCAATGGGCTTTTACAATGTTTATTTTCTTCTTAAGACTTTTAATATTTTACCTTCCTTTAAAAGAATAAAAAATTTATAAGGCAAATATTTTCCTCAGAAAAACACTTTAAGCTAATTATAAATGTTCCTGTAAAAAGAAAAATACAATAAAATTTAAACTGCTTAAATTAATAAAAAAGCAATTAGAATAAACAAAATTATTTAAAAATTTTTCTCAATGCTATCAACTTAAAATAATTTGTTATTATAATAAAAGTTAAATAAATTTAAACCAAATGTTTTTTTTTCATCGGCAAAATCAGAAGCATCAGCATCAATGCCACTACTTATTTATATTAAACCTTTACAAGATACTCTTTAACATTAGTGTTAAATTTAAATAAATAGAAAAGAAATCGAAAGAGATCACATGAAAAAAAAGTTGGTAGGGAAATACAGAACACAAAGCTCTTAAGAAAATATGGTTGAGATAAAAAATATGAAATTTCTAAGCACACATTAAGAGATCATTAGGTATGATTTGTCTGGGTTTTCTTTTTAATGACAATAAATCACTTAGAGAATTCTAAATTCTTTTTCAAAAGTTACTCTTTAGATGAATTTAAATCAATTATGAGATGATTTAGGATAATGTGCAAGTATGAGAGTGATGAATAAATGCAGGTGTTATAGAGGGAAGAGTTTCAAAATATCCCTATAATCGTCTGATCAGCCTAAGCAATTTTAGATCCACAATGCGCACACAAACACAGATATAGCCCCTTCTTATAAATAAATGCTTCTGATATATGAAACATATTTTCCATCTTAAGAAAAATTATAGGCTTAAAATATTTTTAAGCACTGCTTAGGCCGATCACGAAGGATCTATATCTATACAAGAAATATATAATTCAATATTAATGAGATGTTCTAACTAATATGGGAAGAGCCCTTCTCACTATTAGGCTTTCCATTGCTTTTTATTTATTTATTTTTTTTCATATTTCATAGCAACCCTTATATTTCCCATTTATGAAAAAATGTATTTTCTATATTATTATATATTTATATTAAGTATGGTATTTCAGTGAATATTTCATGTAAGTACTATAATTTTTTTTTTGTCAAAAAGTTACTTTTTTATTCTTCCTATGAAGGATGAAGCACCTAAAATCTTTCTCGTAACGCTATGGCAGAATATATTATAGTTAATATTCGGTTTATGTAGCGAAAGAGAATAAACATTTTACAAATGATCAACAGCTATGTACAAGAACAGGAATTGGCAAGAATAATTAAAAAAGATAGAATTCACCATCCTTCCTTTTTTTCTATTTTGAATTTTTTGCTTCCTTTACGCTTTATAGAGTTTAAAAAATTCAGAAAAGGTGAAATGGTGATATTCCCCTTTCAGACTCTACAGGGGAGACTGCTGACAAGAGCAGAACACCTCTGCTTAGGCACATGTCTTTTATTTATTTGTTTATTTTACTAGGTTGGCTGCCACTCTAAAACTTTTTTTTTAAGAGTGGTAGTCGGCCACAGCTAATTTTCAGGCCCTAAAAAAACCCTTTATTGTATGGCAGCTCACGTTTCAAGATGAGACACATTAATGCGGCTCCTAAAAATTGTTTATAATTAAAAAAATACGAATTAGAAACTGTAAAACGATTTCTTGGATATATATATATATATTTATTTATATATATTAATTAAAAACGTTTGAAGGAGCAGACTGTCCGATTGCACAAACCCAAAATACGCGCATTGATGTAAACTTTGATTGTTTCAAATCTACTATGCAAGTAACATAGTTACTAAGCAGCCTGCTCCGGACTAGGCTAAATGTATGATGATGGAAATAAAATATCAGTAATCTATAAAGTTTTTCATTTTTGATTATTTTGATCTTTGAGTGCTATAGAAAGCTTCAAAGCTTTTGTACTTCTACTCAGAAAGTCTCACAACTCTTTTAGACAAGCCGACGATGAACTCGGCTTTTTTTTTTACAGGTGATGCAAAATGCGAGTAAAATAGATCCAGAGGACAAGTCATACATTTACAGAACCTTACATAGATGAACACGAATCCTTATATGTGAACTTCACCACCCGTTGCAGAAATTAATTAATGAGAAGATTCAAAATGACACATTGAGAAAGGTCGAATTCCAATGGGAGCAAAGTTTCCACCCACACGATACTTTGCTCATTAACTTATTGCGCACTGGCAATTTTTTAAGTCACTAAAAAGTTTTAAATTTTATCATACAACAAGAATCCAAAATCTATTCAACATTTCATGCAATTTTTCAAACTGAGTAATTTTCTAATAAAAAAATTATACAAAGGTATTGTCAACTCTTAATGAAAGAGAAATTAAAACAAAATTTGTCTCTATGAAATTTTGATTTGAAAAAGTTTCGATAATCGTATGAACATTGCAAAATCAATGGAAAGTCACAAAGCAATTAATCTAGTCAAAGCAATATTTTAATAATAATATTTAAAAAAATATTTAGCATTTAATACTTAAAATATATCATTTTTATCATAAATCCTTATAACTACAATACTACCAATAAAATAATAACATAATATTGGAGTTTTAATTATAAAAGGACAATTAGAGACTTTATAATAACCAAATTTAAGTAGAATACACTTTTTAATTTATTATACATTTTATTGCATGGGAAACATGCAAAAAACGACAATATATTTGTACAATTTTTTTAAATTTTAATAAAAAAAATTTAACATTTTAGCATATTTTATGATTAAATCAAGAATAATGAATTTATACTTGAACAGTTTTATTTTAGGAAATGAATCAATAAAATAAAAAAAAAATCAATATAGTAATAAAAAATATAAAATATTTTTAGAAAATATCAATAATCACTTATAAATGTTTGCAAAAAAATGATCAAAAACAGAAAATCATGACAATTGTGTCGAATGAATGACAGTATGCAGGAACATAAAAAAATTTTAAATAAATAATTGCCAATGCTCAATAAAAAATTTATTCTTTTTTTGTGAGTGGAAAAATTGCATCCCAATAATTATGTTCCAGGATACTGCCATTCATAAAATCTAAAGAAAATTGCATGAGAGAGATTTGGCGATATCATCCTAATTTTATAAAAAAATATTCATTCTCAGAAGATTTAATAAAGATGAATAAAATACACGCTAAACAAACAATTTTTTTTTTCAAAAGTTGTACGCTCACCAAAATGAAACAGTTGAGGATCACTTGATATTCTTTAGTATTGCACAAGTGTAACATCACCCTGACAAAACTAAACATTTAGAACATTCAAGAACAGCCTCAACTAGCATTAGACCAAATATTATTCTAGCAAAATATAAACTGTGAACAATCAACAACTATTTACACTGGATAGAATTCTTAATTTAATAATAATAGAATCAGAAATTTTTTCAAAGTGGACTAATAAAACATAAAAAGTAAGCATGAATAATAACAGACTAGTTAAGTTTCTTTTAAGTATATGCTTTAGCAAACAATACTAATTCATAAACAGTATTTTAATACAATTCAATGCATCAAACTTAATATGCAGCGTAGAATATATAGTATGAGATTCTTTATTTCTGTCATACTGTTTAAGAATTAGATGGGAACACATAAAAATAATACAATAATCTGATTAGAAATATCACAGCACAACATATTTTTAATATATAATAATGAATATATAAAAAATGAGTACTCAGGAAAAAATATTAGAATATCATGAATACAAATACAACACAATTCTGAAAACAGTAATGTTTGAGAATAGTAAACACATATGTACATATAGTAAGAGAAAAGATTATATAGCTTGCACCGGTTATAAATTATGATTTCAATACACATCCTTTAATCGTTTGAATTACCAATTATCACAACAATGAATAAATGACAAGTGCAGAATTTAGTTTCTTCTCCAATTAAAATAAATTTTGACACCTTTTACGGATGATGATTTCACAGTTTGCTTTACAAGAGCTCTTCTCAGCCAGCTTATATTTCAGAAATGGAAATATTCACTGCACTTGAAAGCTATCGGCAGTGCTGAACATTCTGAAATTCACAATCAAAATCTTTCTTCCATATGAACACTACACATTAAAGAAAAACAAGAACTTCTCATGTATTTTCTTTATCACACTTAGCATTCCTGAAAATAAAAACAGCAATTAAAAATCTTTAATCACGTAATGGAATGCAAATAATAAAACAAATATACTAATAACCAGGGAAAACAAAAGTCTGTGAAAGAAGTGTGAATGATAAAAAGACAACAAGTAGTTAATAAGAAATTGTATATAAATTATAAACAAAATTAAATGAACCAGTATCAGTTCTAATCCTGAATATCAGTTCTAATACTTGGCTGGGTGGCACAGTTGGTTTGTCGTCGGCCTTCTGAGCCCAAGTCTGCGGGTTCGATTCCCGGCCCAGACACCAGATTTTCAGGATGTAGAAAACCATCAGCGGCCATGTCGTATGATTGCGCGGCATGTAAAAGATCCCTGGAGTGCCTTATTGGCTCTTGGCATTTCCGGCAAAATTAAATTCCCAGTGCACTTTAGCATCCAAATAGAGTCCCGGTGCTGCCATTTAGTGTGGCAGAAACTAGACGTCCAAATTAACATGACCAACGGTATCTCACCCATTGTGGTGGTCTTCAAAGAGTGGATACCACCTCTGGAGAATGCACTAGGTTTGCTCATCGGCAAGACCGATTGCGCAGCTCATTGGAAATAAAATTTTAAAAAAAAGTTCTAATACTTAAGGACTTTAAGATTACTATAATAAATTTGCAGTAGGGAAAAATTAATTAGAGCCAGACTACAAGTTTAAAGGCTTGTAGTAAGAACAACAGCGAGTCAGAAATCACAAGTTCAAAAGAAGACTGGAAGAGGGAGAAAGACGAAGTGATTCAGAAGGGAAAGTTTAAGTTTTTATACTGTGGAAAAAGAGATCCGTTTTCGTTCTTTTACTGCCTGTTTATTTCTTTACTTTTAAAGATTATATTTTGGACATTTAAAATCAAATTACATTTTGGACATTTAAAATTAAATTACATATTAATTACAAATGAAGTTTTTACGAATTTTCTTACCCTCATTATGCACATGTTTCTGACTGGATATTAGATGTATGCTTGTTAATATAAGACAGACAGAGATTAGTTGGCAGATTTGTACAGAAAGAGTACGGCTGTGTTATGTTGTGAAGAGTAGAATATTCTCGTCAATTATATTTTCCAAAAAGTTATGTTCTGTTTAATTTAAGTTATTTTGTTTTCTTACATAATAAACATATTTTTCAAACTTTTAAGATGAGCCTTCAATTATACTTGCTTGGCATTTTCCACTATAATACAAAACTATTCCATGAATGAGCATCAGTTCTGATATTGAAGGACTTAAAAATTACTATAATAAATTTTCAGTAGGGAAAAATGAACTAGTAGTAAATCTAACTCACTTAACATCAGTAGGGAGCTTTTTGTCAGAAGGCTGTTCCTGGTATTTTAGGCGCAGAGGCGGCAGACTCTGAGCTTCCCCCGGTAGCTTCTCTCTTTCGGCAGCTAGTGCACGTTCTCTCTGTAATCTAAAATTAAAATATTTTTTGTTTTTTAAGATTAAGGAAATTAAAATGAAATTTATTAAATAACAATGAAACTTTTTTTTAAACAGCAATAAAACTTTTTTTAAACAATCAATTTTAATATTGGAAGTAGAGAAATGTAAGACACTAGCATTCCAGCAGATTATTTTGCACTGCAAGTTATTTTTTATTTCAATTTTAAAAAAGTAAGAAAAAGAATATAATGGAAAATAGGATGGTATTTGGTGTGGATTAGATGCTGAAAACAGGATTCTAATTCTATTAAAACTTTGATTTGTTGCGGATTTCAAGGTGCAAAATAAAACGAATATTATCCAAGTGATATTTAAAGTAAAATCATAAATGTTGCATAGTGCAAATGAGGACAGGGCATGGAAGATAAATCCCCCATGACCTGCATAATTAAAAGCCAAAGTAAAAGTAGAATATAATTAACACTTTTAAAGTATAGGTGAGATCCATTATAAATGTTTTATCAAAAAAGGACACGGCCAAAAAGTCAGAAAAGCGAACCCCACAATATCTCACATTAATATTAAAATAATTTGGCCGAAGATTCAAGGCCAAAAAGTTCGCTGGAAATAAAAATAAACCCAATAATGTACATATTTATGTTCAATGTGGAGAAGATAGATCAAAAATATATTTTAATGCTTAGTTGTCGTGACATTGAATAATAATTACACTAATGAAATAAAGGAAATTTATAAGTTAGAAAATAAGTAATACTGATAATGGTATCACTAAGTAGCCAGCAAGACAATATTTGCCTTTTTTTCTAAATCAAATAAAATTTGTCACATAAAATAGAGATCAAGTGAAAAAGTAAAGATTTTTCTTTTCTATTCTCAGTAATGAACAATAAGAAATCGTCTCTCCTTTTGGAATCTGAAAAGCCAAATAGACTCAAAACAATTCATCAGATAAGTGCAGCCTATGTGTTGTGCTTTAGCAATGCAATTGCGGAAACTAAAGTTTTCTGTAAAAAATTTTATTATGAGTTTCAGTAAAATTTAATTCACTAAAATATATACAAAATAAGTGAAAACTTTAACAAAAAATTGATCAATTTGTTTTGCCTGAATTTTAAAATGCTACCCTCTTCCAATTTTGAATTTGAGATGATCTGGTTTGATATTCTGATTTGATTTTAAAGAATAATCTGATTTGATATTTAGAAGTTTTAACTAAGGTTTTATTACATTTTTCTTTGTAAATATTATTGTGTAAGGTTTAAATTTAAATTTAAAAAATCCTAAATTTTGATAAACTTTTCATCGTTCCTACGTTCACAAGTGTAAATTTTACTATATGTATTAGGTGAACTGGGTTCGAATCCCAGTAATAGCTGGCTAATATAAATTTCATACACGGCTCAAACAAACATGAAATATCCTCAGTGGCTACATAATTTATAATAATCTAGTATGCTAGATAATTTCAAGATTTAAAATTTGTAAAATTCACAATGTTCCAATACAATTTTTTAAAGAACAATATAGATATATATATGCATATACACACACAAGGTGTGTGTAATAATGAGATATAATGATTAAATAATGAGACTGTTGCTGCAAAACATATTTTTAATTCAAGCATTTTTAGTTATTATCACCTTCAATATATATACCCCTTCTCTAAAATTTCAATGCTCCATGCAAATTTTCTATTGTTCGAAAACAGTGGAATCTTTTGAGAACTCCTTTATTACACATGCTGCTTTTTATTTTAACACTCTGACAGAGTGAAATCTTGTTCCGTTTAAAACATTTGATTGTGGGAAACAGACAAAACTTACATGGCTCAAGGTCAGGCAAATAGGGAGGATAACTAAACTCCGGAATGTTGAACTTGGCTAGAAACATTTTGACGAACAATGCAGAATTAGTTGGAACACTGTATAGAGAACTCATGACTTCTTCAAGAAATCAGGTTTTATGCATCTTATTCTATTTCTACAGTACCAGAAATCACAAGAGTAGTCAAGAATCAGATTACACAGAATTCCTCAATTCTTTCACCTGTTTTTGGTATGGAAGGGCACCCTCGACATGAATAATTTTCGCCGTATTGAAAATGTTTAAATCATTAAAAAAATGCGCACATGACAAATATTTATTGCAATGCATTTTTAGTAATGTTTCAGCAGTGCTTTTTCCAATTTTTAATTGAAATTTCACGAAAGACTCATTATCCAATTATTACTGCACTTATTATTTCTCCATCAAAACAAAATAACAGCTCTTATACGAACAAAGACAAAAACCAGACTATCGTTTACAGACACAGATGGAGTACATTTGAATGAAAAGGCTATACAATATATAGTCCTTTGTCATACACATAGTTCTACAGTGGGAGCAACAATATTGTTATTTAATAGCCACATATCATGTATATATATATTCTTATAAGTAGACATTAAAAAATTAGAATCATTAAAAATAGTAAGTTTTGTGAATTTAAGTTCATATTAATTGAAAATTGAAGAACTAATTAAATTAAAAAATAAAAAAAAGCAGTTTTTGACAACAACAACAAAAAAACGATGGAAGAGTTGGGTATTTACTAAAAATAACATAAATTAACCCATTACTGCCTAATAAGTGTGCTTTTCCTTGTTATAATTTTCTTAAAAGTACATGTTAAATTATTAAATTTTTTTACTTGTAGAAGACTTTAATTTTTACAATTTGTATTCAAATTACAATTACAATTTGTGGCCCATACTGTAAAACATAAATTTTATAACTTTTCAATTTGTGAATTTAAAAGCACACAGATTTCATGCATCAAAGAAAAATAAAACTTATGCAAAAGTATCAAGTTGTAACTGATAATTAGCTCACTAAATAAAAAACACAGACAAAAATACTTAATAATGGATATAAAATTTCAGTCACAAAAAAGATGAAAAATATTAGATTAAATTTGATTTTATGATATGAATAGAAATACTACAATAAAATGCAATACTAAAAACAAATTTTTGGGTTGATATTCATGAAACTCACCACTTTGCCTTGAAAGTAATCCCACATACTGGTTAGCAAGAAAGAAAAATATTTTTTTTTCATAAAGATAGAAAACAATAAATCCATAATATGAAAGACTATAAAATGTATAAGAATAACCTAAAGAACAAGCATTTAAAAAAGAACACACTTACTTATTTTTGGACTGTCTCAGAAACTGCTGTATTTTTCTAGCTGCCTGGTGTTGCCTCCTTTGAGAATATGTTCTCCTTTAAAAGAAAACCACGAAATAATTAAATGTGATTAGAATAGTTAAAATAAAATAAAACAGTAATATGCAAATATAGTTGTTCTAAGGCATTAAACCTAGTATTTTACATAACATTAAATAATTATTATGCATTTTTTCTCATCTAGAAATAACATAACTTAAAATGTGCTATAGGATTAGTTTTTCCTAAATTTCTGCTATATGAGAATTAGACTTAACTAAATATGGACAAAAAAATTGCATATAGGTGGAATACTTAACAAAATTAATCTTATTTAGAAGATAAATAGCCTAACAAGTGATGCGTCAGTATCTAACCAACATTATTATCACAGAAAGCTTGATATTGACAAGTCTACTGTGACTTCATAAACATTTGTTCACAAGCAATTAAAAAAAGAAAATCAAGAGTGGTTATTAAAATATGTTAAAAGCATATTCATTCTTAACATAAAATTTAATTTCATTAAAAACAACGAAAACAGTCTACAAGTGGCAATTGAAAAGCAAATAAGGAATTTTTCAACAGTAATGAACTTTTTTTTTTAATTTACTTAATAATGAAGTGTCTTGTGATGCAGCTGCATATGGATCTCTAATACAATTTTGCTAATCTACCACAATTCATAAAAAAATTTTTGATTAATAAATAACAGAAATAGCCTATCTGCTCCATCTATCCTTCCTTTTACTCACATTACTTGGCTTAAATATTATTAACAATTTTAATTTAATTATTAGATTTAAATACCATTTTAGTGCCTTCTTTTCTCTTTTTTTCACAAGTAATTAAATTTCATTTGGAACGATTTTTCTTTTATTCTTTTAATTTTTTTTTATATCAATAGAGCCAGATGGAAACAACATGATGGGACAGCTCTGGTCTGTACAGTACTAGGCTGTCATGGTGGTGAAAGGAGAAGGAAAAAAAATAATAAGGCCAACAAGTACAAAATTGAAAATTTTACACTGCCACAAAATTGGCAGTTATTCTATCATAAACCAACCTGTAAACAACATTTGAAAAATTATTTATTGGCAAGAGGAAAATAAACAATGCGAAATGAAGTCAACAATATAGCAGTAGCAAAGCATTGTCATCTTAGTTTAAAACAAAGTAAATTCCAATCAAATATGAAATTAAAAAGAATTTTTAAAAAGTTCATCAGAAATGTGTTGAGTAAAAGAAACAAACAGTAAGTGAGAAAGAATTCTTTAAAAAAAAATGGGATGCATAGAAAATGACCCTTACTTTAAAGTGGAGGAAGATGTCGGAGTGCCTTCCCTACTCGAACTCAGCCTACGCTCAGACTCAGCCAGAGTCCAGTACAGAGATTGTAAACTTGCAGCAGAGGGACTCGGAGAGCTGCCAAGTGCTGGAGAAATACAGTCAGCATCGCTTTCTTTCCATTTCTTAAATCGCTTGTGTTCGCAATAATTGCGAAATTGGCTCTGGATCAACTGGGCAGCCTTGGTCATTTGCTTATAATACATATACTGCAAAAAAAATATTAAATAAGACAATGTGTGTATGATCAGCCAGTAACATTTATTAATTTTTTTTTTTTAAGTTAAACAAACATAAAAACATAAGGGTTGCCCAGATAAAAAAAAAAGTGCATGCATAATATTAGAAATATAGTATAAATAGCAGTGCCATCTATCACATTATAAATCCAGCAACATAAATTGCGTATACCTGATTAACCAGTTCGAATGAGAGCATTTCATATTAAAGTTAAGTCACAAGAGAACAAATTCATCTAAAGCAGACGATGCACAGTAATATAATTTTTATAACAGAAGATGACAGAATATTAATCATCAAATGTCTGTGTTTAAAATGTCTGTGTTTATAGCCAAACACTGTATAAGGAAAAATAGCTGTGAACATGTTTTAGTGAAGAGCATAAATCAATACCACATCTGCAAAGATCTGTGGCAAGCAAGCATCATGATCTACCAAGATTTCATTGTTGCTATTGATGAAGTGATTAGAAGCAATAAAAGAGAAATGACTCGTGACATACATTATTCTGTTCTGAATACTCTTGACTTGGCATTTATTTGAAATGTTCTCATGTGAACAGGTTAATCATTTATATATAGTTTGAGGTGCATTTCTTTTACCTTACTTTATAACCCTAAATAATGGCACTGATATTGTTACTTTAATTCAGATGATACAAAACTTTCCAACCTTTTTATTTAGGCAACTCTTAGATACAGCTTTTGATTAAATTTATCAATTTAATTTATTCACTAAAACTCTGCTAATAAAATTATTATTAGAGGCACTGTAGAAGATAAAACAAGTAATTTTCCATCGTTCTCTTTTAAATGGTAAGATAAACTTTCAATTATGTGACTTAGCAGCAGGGTTCGTGATTTCTTTCATTTTCTTAAAAAAAATCAAAAAAATCGGATTATTTTGATTTAAATCGGATTTTTTTTTATTTAAATCAGATTTTTTTTATTTTNATAAATCTTTTGTAGATAACACAATCTTTTATGTACAAAATATCAAGATGTAAGCTCTCATCTGAACAAAATATCATCGGACAGAATCATGAGTAGGTAAAATCTAATACAAAGATAATATTCTTTGGATAAAATTATTAAGCATTTTCAAAAGCCTTCAATTTAGATTTTGTTATCGAATGGGATCTCAAATTGCAAAAAGGATATTCCAACCAAATATAATCAGTTTATACCAAAAATAAACTATAAGTAGAGAAATATAGAAGAAAAAGTTTTTCAGTGAGATCTAATTTTGACAAGAGTAAAAGAAAAACAAAAATACCTGTTTGTATCGCCTGTAATATGTCTGAATGAGAGTTGCAGCAGCTTTTTCTTTCTCTTGTTCTTCTTGCCGTTTGCGTCCTTTATAAGATCGATATGCTTTTTGGATAATTTTTGCTGCTTCATAGAGTTCACGCTGTTCCTTATCTGAAAATAATTGATATTTAGGGATTCAAGATTAAAAAAATAAATAAAGCAATACTTAACCCACTTTTATAAAAACAAAACTTTTCAACTGCTCCAAGCACGTAAAATCCAAAAAAATACTTTTCCTGTTGTCTTACAGAATTAATAAAATTAAAGCTTTTCAGTATATAATTAATGCTTTTAGAATAATACAGTCTTATANGAGCAGGGGGCGCAGCCCATTAGTTACCTATAAAGATCTATTATGTTAAAAAAAAATTATATTACTCTTAAAGTAGATTTGCTAATCTTTATTTATGCAGAATTATTTTAGAACTGGAAATAGGAGCTCTGTTTTATTTACAACAGTCTAAATAAAGGAACTATTGACAGCCAAATTAAATAAATAAGCACATGAGTTGAATATTTTTTTTCATCTTATTATTAGATTTCTTCATTCTCTAGAGCCATTTTTTATTTTAGTCTACTTAAATCATTTTAATTATCAATTGACTTAAATAACAATTAACACACTTTAAATTTTTAAGGTATTTTCTCAACAGATTTTGCATAAAATAAAGACTAGTATCTAATCAAAGCTGCTTATTCAAGTTTCATATCTTGAGCCAAGTCTCAAAGTTTTATCCTTCATCTTAGCAATTATATGATTAAACAATAAAAAAATCACAAAGTTGTTCAACATTTAACTGAAAAATAATCTGAAGCTATATAATTTACATCGAGTTAGATATTAATAGTTATGAAAAAAAAAGCAAGTACACTTACTAACTATGTGCTATTTTGTGAGGAAAGAGTATAAATAAGAAAAATATCTGCTCTGTTAAAATGAATCAGATTTAATTCAGTCAGGTAAAACATGTTTTATCTATACTTAACCTAAATATACCATTTAAATAAAAATATTCAAAGCAGCAACTAAGTAAAGGAAAATTCACTGGTAAATTTAAAAGGATATGTGCATTAAGGTTATTAATTTAATTTAGAAAATCAGAAAGTTAAAAAGTAATTTTTGTTTTATTTAAACTTCACTGTGCAAGTTTAGAAACTTTAAGATTCTTTCACTTTTATTTACAATGCTTTATTATTATTTTTTTTAAAATATTTTTTTCCTTGTTATGAAGAAATATGCTAACAGTTTTGGCCCTTTATTTATTGGCAAAAAAATAAACAAATAAAAACTCAAAATGCTCACAAAATTTTTTAAGGGAGAGAAAAGTAAAATGGAACAATCTGCAATGACAAAAATGTTCTATGTATATTGTTTTTAACAAAACACAGAAAATATCATATGAAAGGTATTATCAGTTTGTAAAACACATTTTAACTGGGAGAATTCATGATAAACGTTTTGAATAATATTAAAAAGTCTTACTGACATCTTAGTCCCAATGTCTTATTATTATATAATATAGCAGAACTATACTCCCTTGTAAGTTAAGAAAAGACCATTGTGGTATAGGATTTAAATAATCATTTGTGCCTACATAGAGTTACGTTTTATTGTGCTATCAAATTATACAAATATGCTTTCAAAAAAATATAAAAGCTTATAAAATTTAGCACATCAATTCTTGCTATCTTTTCCTAGATTTGACGACATATTTCAATAAATAAGTTGAACATTCGTCCTTGAAAAAAATAATAAAAACAATTATATGACGTTGCAAGAGCATTGGATTTGATTGTACCACTAAAAATGGCCCGTCGTATGCAGGCATACCCTTAACAAATTAAATACAAGTTAAAGAACTTTTACTTTTGTTTCACTGTAGAAGAAAATCACCAGCAAGAAACAATATTATTATTCTTAACAATATTATTATTCTTTCATCAGCTTCTCTAAATGCAAACAGAAAATACATATATGCTACGATTTTTAAATATAATTTCTATTGATTCTTATTCCTTATTAATCGATTATTTAACAAGTTTTGTTTTCCTCATTTCATACGATTTAAGCCAAAAATGTTTCATTCAATCAATTTTTAAAATTGGCTAATCACAAAATTTATTTATATGTTTGTAGTAATAACACTCCAAAGAATCAAGTTTCGAATTAACAAAAATTTTAAGTCAAATAAAGGCACCAAGTTATACCCCTAAGAGAATTCCCAAAATGCAAAAAAAAAAAAAAAAAAAAAAAAAAAAAAAAAAAAAAAAAAAANAAAAAAAAAAAAAAAAAAAAAAAAAAAAAAAAAAAAAAAAAAAAAAAAAAAAAAAAAGAACACAGTATGCAAAAGAAATCATTTTTAACATCTAATTCATTTTTGAGAATAAGAGATATTTTTTTTAAACAATTTTGGCTGCCTAGGGTGCAATGAGAACCCGATACAAAGAGTGAATTTCTAAGGTCCCTTTATTCTCTTTATAAATGAATTTGACTGCAACACCCACTTTTTCAGTATTAAGAATAATTTTTTAAAATGTCTTCTAAAAATGTATCCCACAATTTTGGGGCCTTTCAAATATTAGGTAAGCACCTAATAGCGGGATACAGTTTGTAACTTGCTTATTTTTCCTGACAAGGGGTAGGAGAAGTATGAGCAATTATAACATAACACATTTATATTCGTTTATTTTTAAAAAAAATAAATGAATAAAATTTTAAAAAAACCAACAAAAAATTACAGTTAGAAAAAATTTATACTAAAAATTAAATTCAAGGAAAAAAATAATTGTAAAATTTTTTTTCAAGTGTTTTGTTTCAGTTTTTTTTTTTTTTTTTTTTTTTTTTTTTTTTTTTTGTTCAGTGTTTTGACAATAGTAGGAAAACTAAAAAGATTCCTAAAGAATTTTCTACTTAAATGTTCATAAAATTTTGAGTGCAAAGATACATATTTTCTTTGAATTTAAGCCTAAAATAAAATTACTACAATAAAAGTCAAAGCAAAAAACAAGGAGTATTCCAATTTTCATATACAAGCTAGAATGGTTTGTGGTTAGCTTTTTTTTTCTTTTTTGACAGGGGGGAGGAGTCCAAATTTGCCTAAAACATATGTAATATTTAAACATCTTCTTCGCATAAATTAAGTTATGTAGTTAATTTAAAAACTTATTCAAACATACCGATAAGTATGA